TTAGAGGCACTGTGCTCTACTTTAAGATTTGAATGAAGCACTGTTTCCTCTTCAGATACAAGCCTGGTTGAGACCTTGGGGCCCTCGAGTAGAGCCTAAAAAGAACCTGAAGGGCTCTTGCTGCAGTGTAGGAGGCTGTGTGATTCCCAGTGATGGGGGAAGCATGCCTTTGCACCCTATACACAGAGAGCTTATCTGTGTGATTTTCTCAAAACAGTGGAAGGGAAAACGTGAGAAAGGAGAAAAGTTGTCAGCAAATCATTATTATGGGCAATATATTGGAGATGTGTAGCTATGGACACCTTGAATTTGTTTGTAAAGTAGGTTCCAGTTACTGACATACTGGAGGTACCCAATGGGCCTTTATTTTCATTATTTTTATTATAGGTGTTGAAAGATTTAGGAAGTAAGTGAGATAAACACCAATCTAAGCAATTTATCTTATTTATAGCCATAGAGGCTATCTCCACCAAACTCATTAGGAAAGTATGCTAAATAAGCAGTATGAACGTGGTAGAAATGGGTGATTATTGCTTTTTCTCAACTTCTTCCTATACCAACAGTCATTTTATATAATTGGGCTAATCTAAAGCACAATGTGCAGTCATCTACTCATATAACTGAATAATGATAACAGTAATTTACTGAGTGTTTGCTATTTGTCTGGCATTATTTTAAGAGCTTTAAAGCCTTGCTTCATTTCATGAACCGAAACCATAATAATTTAGTCATGATTATATCCATATTACAGATGAGAAAACTGTGGCTCAGAAAGTTTAATTGCCCAAAGTCCTATAACAGAAAGGTTTTCCTCTCTCAAAGAGCCTAACCAAGAATCCATGCTATTGGGACTTCCCTGGTGGTGCAGTGGTTAAGAATCCACCTGCCAGTGCAGGGGACACGGGTTTGATCCCTAGTCTGGGAAGATCCCACATGCTGCAGAGCAACTAGGCCCATGCACCACAACAACTGAGCCCACGTGCTACAACTACTGAAGCCCGTGCTCAGCAACAAAAGAAGCCACTGCAATGAAAAGCCCGTGCACTGCAACGAAGAGTAGCCCCCACTCGCTGCAACTAGAGAAAGCCCACGTGCAGCAATGAAGACCCAACGCAGCCAAAAAAAAAAAAAAAAGAGTCCATGCTATTAATCACCATGTCATTCATTCCTTCCCTTCAGATCCAGGTATTTTATTTCTCCACCCTGGACTGCCTAATTATTTTTATGTTTTAGTATCACAGAGTGATTAATTTAACCAACCCCACTTTGATGATGAAACTAAGACCAGTTGGGTAAAGGTTCTTTATACAATAAAGACAACCAGCAAAACTGTTACAGGGAAACGACTGATGCTACAAACTGTGTTTCCATGATGCGGTTTAGCCAATTTTTCCATGTTAAAGATAACAAGGGGGCTTCCCTGGTGGTGCAGTGGTTGAGAGTCTGCCTGCCGGTGCAGGGGACACGGGTTCGTGCCCCGGTCCGGGAAGATCCCACATGCCACGGAGCGGCTGGGCCCATGAGCCATGGCCGCTGAGCCTGCGCGTCCGGAGCCTGTGCTCCGCAATGGGAGAGGCCACAACAGTGAGAGGCCCGCGTAACGCAAAAAAAAAAAGATAACAAGTTGGTGGGCGCCCCAGGAATCTCTCCCAGCCACAAGCATTACATCTTAAGGGGGGTGACCTAAGCTCAAATATCATGCAGAGTCTAGTCAGAGGAAGTGAAAAGATATTAGGGGGCAGAAGCCATCGCAAGAAAGATCCTGGTGGGGGACAAATGAACACACACACACACACACACACACACACACACACATATGAACACACGCACACACACAACTATTGCTAGGGGAAGATATACAAGAAATAATACATCCGAAAAATGGGTGAAGCTGGTCTGGAGAGAAGGAGAAGCTAATAAAACAGTTAGCTAAGGCCCTGAGTGACAGTCGGAAAAAAACACATACAAATATCTTCCCATCTCCTCACAGCTCCAGAAGTACTATGGAATCTTACATACTTTGGTATCTGGAAAAATATTTAGATTTTGCCAGATGTGCATTCCTTTAGGCCACGATGAGATGATGCTTGGCCTCAGTGTGAGGACTAAGCTAGCCCCAATGCTCTTTAAACACACACAATATTTTTTTAGAAGGTAGTTGTTTCCATCTATTGAATTCTACCTCACAACTGGGACGGAAAAGAACAGCCTGGATTCGTTGCGTGTTCATCTGATTTACACAACACAGATCAGATGAACTCAGGAAGCCTCCAAGGTATGTGAATAAGAGTAAATAAGGGAATCTGCAGAATAGGGTCTAAAGTCCTGCTCTAGTAAGCTACATATATTTTATTCTTTAAATAAAAAGCAAACTATCAAAACACTAGGAGCAACATGGGGTGTTCCTTATTTTTTAAGAAAATGGACAAAGCTCAAATATGAAAGCCAGGTGCTGTGATCCTTTGAGTCCAGGAAATAGATGTCTGTGTATTTAACTCCCTGGTTTTTAATATGTGCTACCTTATTTATATTTAGCTTTGAAAAGGGTTAAAATGTAGCATTGCTTCTTCTTTGAACAACTAATACATTCAATAATAAGGATTAATGATAATAATAAGGTATAGCATGTCACACTTCAAACACTGTTTTCACATATTCTGTTTTGATTCTCTCCAAAAGCCATGCTAAGTATAGTGACAGAAAAGGAAACAAAGTTACAGATTTGAACATACCCAGGAGAGTACACCAGAGACCTTGTCACACAACTTTCCGCTGGGGATCTTTCCCCTGTCTCACACTCCCATGAGTATATGGCTCTTGAAATCTCCCTGGCTAGTACTTCTGTAGAGCTCAAAAACATGGAAGACCTCGACAAAGATACATGGAATCAATAGCCTTCAGCCTGGATTCTAATGGAATAAGTAATATTATTTCCCTTGGGACTAACGTAATATTGTACTACAAAATGGGAAAGCTAGCTAGTAGAAAATAGAGTTTGAATATTTTGGGAAGAAATTTTCCACTAAAAGAAGAAGAGAATGGCTCTAGTTAGTTAACATAAAAGTCATCTACCTACCTTGCTATCTATTATCTATCTGCGTCTATTAGTAGACAAATACCTTCCTATTTCAAATATATTGCTTTGAGTCAACACTTAGCCATGACACACAAAATCGTTCCCAAAGCACACCCAACTGCATCCGAAGAAAACAAAGCATAACCGGAGGAGCAGGACAACAGAAAGGCTTTCCTCCTATAATGGATTTAACTGTCCAGAGTTCACAATTCTGCATGAAGTAGACATTCCCCTTTCATAACAAATGGTAGACAGCAACATGCGAGTTTGATTGCTATTTCCTCCAATCAAGTTTGTTCTCTTCCTCTCTCTCTCTCTCTTCCTCTCTCAACTCTGTTTCTCTCCATCACTATCACTCTATCTACTGTATACACTTTTATAGAATTTCAGGAACAGCTTTGTATCTGGAAAACAGGGCTGCCAGAAAGAGGTATGGAATAGAACAAAAGCTTTACCCCAAAGCTTCTATGCATTACAAAAGCTTGCACTCGGATAATAGAAACATCGAGCCTCAGGTGACTGAGAACACTTACTGTTGGTTGCATAACGTATGGCGGATGAGGCATCCATGAAGTACTCTGGACCTATGCATCAAACAGCATTTATTAGAAGAAAGCAATCACAGAGAGAACTTGGTTCTTGCGTTCAGTGGAGTCACACTAGGTCATAAGAAAGTGGCGTCCACCTGACTTACAGCGAATTAGTGCTCAAAACTAAGGGTACAAAGGGAATTCTTGGACCTGATTCATTTGGTCCCTGAAACATGGTACAATGTAAAGCAAATTCCTACTTCCCTGGAGCTGGCTGTAGTGCCCACATGGGACAGGCTGGGCCATAGAGCACATTTGGAGGCTTCAGGAATCTCCTGTTTATAGGTCAACTTCCGGGAAGATCCGGGCGAATAAGGAAGGAGGCATTACTTAGCATGACTGCTAAGACTTCCTCTTTTTCTGTCATTGGTTCTAACTTCATATTCTCAAGTAATCCCATCTTGGAAATAAATCCAAGTGGTAAAAGTTGGGGAAGAATTAGAGAGATCAACCAGAAATTTTGGGGTATGTTTTGGGTTAAACCCAAGTTAAGCAAGTCTGTGATTTTTCTCGCTCACGGTAATTGGTATGGCAAATAAAAGTGAGTATATGAGCCAGCCAAGTGTTCTGAATGTTCGCCATCAGCCAAATGAGAAAGTCAGCTTCTAAGAGCTGATTGTGACATAGAGAGCCCCGAAGATTTTGTTTTCAATATACTCACATCAATGAAATTGACAATGAACTTTAGATTAAAAAAAAGAAGTGGTGAAAAGCAAGAATCAACAACATAGGAAATTGCTCTAATTCCTTTTTTTGAGAAAAGAGAGCCAGAGTTAAATTCCACTTATGAACCCTCCCAAAAGAAATGACTGTTCTGTGGAGATTTTATTCATGTCACCAAAGTGCTCTACAGTGGAGCTCAATGGGTGGTCTTGGCTGAAACAGAGGCCAAGGTTAGAAAAAAATGGGTAAAAAACCAAAAAACACACATTACAACCAGGCAGGCCTGTAGGAAGAACAAAAACTGAACAGCATCTGCACTTAGCCTCATGGGTCCCAAGGAAAGGCAATTAAGAAATCAGCCATTCTGAGACCCTCTAATGCAATTCACACAAAAGTCTATTCCGCTCACCCGACAGGTATCAAGAATCTAAGTGCAGACACAGAATGAGAATGATCTGCCTCGGGGGAAATTAGTTAAGGAAAAAAGTGCATAGTCTCAAGCATGATGCTCTGACAGCTGGGACCTCCTGTTATGACGTATGTAGTGGATGAATAATGTGAAACTTCACTGAATTCGTAGCAGTCAGCAACATTACAGTTTTCCCTGTTGTAAACCCCCCACCCACCCACCATCTGCACAATATAGGGAAACACACACAGGCACACACTCGCACTTTTGCTCTTTCTTTCTCTCTCCAAAGCTTTAAACAGTGACACTCAACACTCTTGGTAGCATTCATAGGCATTTTTTTCTATTTTGAATTAGAAGAATTGTCTGAAGAACTAGATGAGGTAAAGAGAAGCAGGGAGAAATATCATATCTTTGATGACTCAAAGGAATAAGATAAGGAGCACTGTTTGAGGGAGAAGGATGGCTATTTCAATCCACCTGTGGACTTAGCATTACTAACTGGCTACAACATCTGGTTTAGGACACACACTGAGTCTCAGATTTTCTTGTGTTTCAACATGTGGAACCCCCGAGGTCTCTTTTGGCCTCTTTGGAACTGAGAATGAAGTAAGAGGAGGAAGTAGGAATTACTTTTACCCCTTTGATAATCTTCCCTATTTCTTGGAGCAAATGATCTTGCATCTATCCATGCAGCTTTCCATGGATACACAGAACGATTGTGACAAAATGAGATGCCAATGATACGATATCCTGGAGGGCGTGCAGGGAGTTGCCAGAAATGTGTTCTCAGAAAAGATACCCTAGGGAACAACAACCAAAATAACAGACAACACACAAAATAACCTCTCAGTGGTAAGAAAGCTGCACTAATGTTGGCTGGAAAGTAGCAAAATCATGAAAACTCAGCAGGAAGAATGGAAAGCTCGGTGGATTTTTATCACTCAGTGAAACAGATGCAAACAAGCCCTTGAAAGTGTAGGCTCAATGGATAGTTTGAGTATTATGACATTAAGATATGACTAAAGGGAAGACAACTTAAAACAAAAATCCTACTGTTTCCCTTTTGTCTTGATCTAGTCTGTTCCTGGCAAGAAAGCTTTCCCGGGAGGTGCAGGTAAACCGGACATACCTGGTATGTGGAGACAGGGGAAGCAGCAATGAATGGCGTGATGGGTGTCTGTGGAATCATGCGGTTGGTTGCAATACTGTACGGTGAAGAATAAAATCTGCAAACAGAAAAACAAAAAGAAGATTCATAGATTCATGAAGCTGATGCACGCCTGGCTGCTAACCAAACACTACCATACACGTCTGGAGAAGACAGAGTTCCACCCTCATGTTGCCCATCAACTGTTAACAGGATCATGCAGAAGACTGATGGTCTTTGATTCCACAAGAAATAAGTTGTTCTGAAAAAAATGACAATTTTGAGTCCTCTTATACAATTGACTGCACAAAAATCTCTTAGGCCAGGTGAGTGTAATAGTATGTTTAACCAATAGCAGAGAAAAGCCATGGGCATTGTTTCTAAAGCTCCTTGAAAGAAAGGCAAAACCATAGCACCAAGCTTTATAAAGGTGGCTGGTGTTACACAGACAGAAATTGCATCTATCCCTTTATTCAAGAAAGAGGATCAGGGCTTCCCTGGTGGCGCAGTGGTTGAGAGTCCGCCTGCCGATGCAGGGGACACGGGTTCGTGCCCCGGTCCGGGAAGATCCCACATGCCGCGGAGCGGCTGGGCCCGTGAGCCATGGCCGCTGAGCCTGCGCGTCCGGAGCCTGTGCTCCGCAACGGGAGAGGCCACAGCAGTGAGAGGCCCACGTACCGCAAAAAAAAGAAAAAAAAAAAAAGAAGTAATACTTTGAGGAGAAACTGAAGCACAGTTTCCTATGAAATAGTATAGCTAAAGAAAAAAAAAAAAAAAGAAAGAGGATCAGCTTATAGAGAGTTCTGGATAATTTGTGCTAGGCATGCATCCATGCCCTCAGGTAGAAACTAAGCTAAGTACTTTCTTTCTCCATGAAAAGAGAAGGACAGTTTGTGGACAATTTAGGTCTAGGTGAGGAAAGGAATCTTTTCTGGATTCAGTCAGGGCACTGATGGAGATTATGGACCTATGTGATATACCTCTGTACACGCTGTAAAAAGCACTGAGTTTTCTAGTTCTCCAGGGTCCTTCACTGAACAATTACAGAATAATACTGGGCAAGATCAGAGCTTCACAAATCAGAGGTGGGATGATCCTTCTGGAGATCTATTGAAGGACAGCTTTAATAGAGATCTATTAAAGGGTATCAAAAACACTTACAGGCCATCTCTGCTCAGACTTATACCCTGGAGTCCACAAGCTACCTAATGCTCAAATTCCTCAGCAGAATTATAAATCATGTTTTTTTCTTTATGTCTCACTGGTAAGGGAAAGGCTAGAGTGACCAGCCACACATCGTGCAGACAAAACCAGGTGGGCTGTGATGGAGTATTTCACTGATATCAGGATAGATTGGGAAAATGCCTCTCAGGGATCATGGGATCATTACTTCACTTTGCCATACTCTTATCGGGATAGATTAGATTGGGAAAATGCCTCTCAGGGATCATGGGATCATTACTTCACCTTGCCATACTCTTAGCAAAAGTCAATTACTACTTTTAGTTTAGTTTTTCTTTCTTTCTTTCTTTCTTCTTCCTTCCTTCCTTCCTTTTTCTTTCTTTCCTTTTTTTAAATAGTATGACTGAGGTTGGAGTTTTGGAGACAAAAGCTTCCTCATCTCTCAGGGGCCACTGATATATTGAATAGAGGATCTCATGGGTCACCTTTCTAAAGAAGTGTTCCATGAGAACCCCACTGAGTGTAGGGGGGCTGGATTTCAAGGTTGCCAGGTTTCAAAGAGTAAATTCTTTAAGCTTAGATCCTATACAAGTCTTCAAGCAAGGATTGGGGAACTAGAGTCTTAAATTGATCTAGCTCTCAACAAGGATTATAAGGTCATAGTCTTTTGGTTAAAAAAGATGTAGCTGAAAAAATTACACCATTACACATTGCATCCTCCTTACTATCCATACCTATACCTACCATACCTCTAAAATTTTAGAAAAAAAGAATATTGGCTATATATACTCATTAAAATGGCCAAATTAAAAAGAAAAAGACAATCAGAGCTGTCAAGGATTCAGAGAAAGTGGAACTCTTTCATTGTTGGTGGAGATACAGGATGATACAGCCCTTTTAGAAAACAGTTTGGCAGTTTCTTATAAAGTTAAACATATACATAGCATATAACCCAACTATCCCACTGGTACATAATAACTGAAGATAAATGAAAACTTGAGCTCACACAAAGACCTTAATGCAAATATTTATAGCATCTTTATTTGATACTTGCCAAAAACTGAAAACAAGCCAAATATCCTTCAACTGAATTAATAAACTGTGGTCCATCCATACACTGGGATGCTACTAAACAATTAAAAGGAAAGAACTACTGATATATTTAACATGGTGAATCTTAAGTAAATTATGCTAAATGAAAGAAGTCAAACTCAAAAGTCTATATTTTATATCCATTTATATAATACTATGGAAAATGCAAAACTTTAAAGACCGAAAATAAATAATGGATGCCAAAGGCTGGGATTGGGGGAAGAGTCTGAGTGCAGAGACACCTGAGGGAATTTTGGAAAGTGATGTAACTGTTCTATATCTTCATTGCTTGGTGGTTCCACAACTGTGTGCTTGTCAGACCTCACAGAATGGTACAGCCTTAAGAGTGAATACATACTCAATATAAATTACAGTTAATAAATCTGACTTTAAAGTCAATTGCTATGTAAGAAAACATCCATCCTTCCACTTTAAAAAATGTGTTGAACATTTACTATGTATACCAAAGAAGGGTAGGACATTCCTTTGAGTTTTTCTATTTAAGCATTTAAATTGAACCTTATCTATACATTAACCAGCCTAAAGCTGGTCAATGGCTTTCTGCTGCAATGAGAACAAAATTTGAATTCCTCAGATTGATGAGCACAATCAGGCTATTGCCCACCTCTCTCCCCAGAGCCAACTAGGATCCAACCACACTGACCTTCATCTGTCACATGAGCCTGTCATTCTCACTCTCATCTTGGGCCACTACGCTTACAATTCTCTCTACCTGGAATGGTTATTTCCCCAAATCACCCTAGAACTATCTCTTTCTCATTATTGATCTCACTCAACTTTCCCATCTTTTCAGAGGTCTCTAGCTAAAGTAGCAACCACCATCTCTGCCCCAACTGTTCTCTATTCCTTTCCTCTATTTTTTTTTCATTGTTCTTATCACTATCTGAACTAGTAATTTTAAAAAATGTCTTTATATATGCTATGGACCGAATGTTTGTGTCCCTTTAAAATTCATATATTGAAGTCCTAATTTCCAAAGTGGCTGTATGTGGAGATGGAGCCTCTAAGGAAGAAACTAAGGTTAAATGAGCTCATGAGGGTGGGGCCCTAACGTCAAAGGGTTAGTGTCCTTATAAGAAGAGGCATTAGAGTGCTTGCTCTCTCTCTATCCACATGCTCACATGGAGGAAAGGTTATGTGAGGGCATAATGAGAAAGCAGCTTTGTAAAAGCCAGAAACTAAATCCCAAACTAAATCAGCCAGACCCTGATCTTGGACTTCCACCCTCCAGAACTGTGAGAAAATATATTTCTGTTGTTTAAAGCCACACAATCAATGGCATTTTGTTACAGCAGTCAAGTTGACTAATGGAATGTATTTATTGATTATTTCTCCCTCTAGAGTGTCAGCTTCAAGAGAGTTGAGGACACCTTGATTTTGTTGCCTAGAATAGAGCCTGGGACATAGTAAATACAGGCATACCTCATTTTATTGTGCTTTGCTGTATTACACTTCACAGATATTGCAACTTTTCCAAATTGAAGGTTTGTGGCAACGCTGCATTGTCAGATGGTGCTTAGCAATTTTTAGCAATGAAATCTTTTTAACTGATGGATGTACATTGTTTTTTTAGACATAATGCTTTGCACATTTAATAGACTACAGTCTAGTCCAAACATAACTTCTATATGCCCTGGGCAATTTTAAAAAATTGTGTGACTCATTTTATTGAGATATCTGCTTTATTGCAGTGGTCTGGAACTGAACCCACAGTATCTCCAAGGTATGTCTTGCTTAATACCTGTAGGCTGAATGAATGAATAAATGAATGCAGAGCAGTTTAGAGAGATAAGTAGTGATTACAGTAGAGGCTGCCAGTGTCAAATTGGTGGGGGCACAGAAGATGGCTTCTGTTCAAATAGGAAGCTGAGAGGTGAGAACCAAGAGAAAATTGGCTGGCATCACATATCTGTAAATGCTCAGTGGAAGCTTAAACTAATGCCTGTTTTCTAAGCATGCAAAGGTACTGACAACCAGGGAAAACAGACCTTTTCTATAAAAATCATGGTTTGCATTAAAAAAAAAAAAACGCTTTAGGTCTTATCTTTGACAGATTTTATTTATGAGTCAGTGTACAGAAAGACTTATTTGGAGCTCATAATAACATAGCAGGTACTCATGACCACTCCACAAACGGCCTTTTCATTCACCATGCAAGTTTCTTAGAAACCCAGTTTCAGCCTCTTGTACCAACAGAGCGAATCATGCGTCACATTTTAGAGTGGCTGGTTTATTTTGCGAAATGTACCAATTGTCACATTAAAAATGAAAGCAGTAAGGATAGGATGGACTGGCAATGTTTACAGGAAATTTTATGGGAAAAACAGCAGAAACATAAAGAAAACAGCCAAGTAAACGGATACTAACAAAGGGCACCCTTGGGGGAAATTTTCAGGCATTTTTTTTTCCTGTCTGCTCTAACCCTATCCATCAGACAAGAATATTTCATACTTCCCAGCAAGTTCCAGTACTGCCCCTCAAATCAGAGAGTCATTTAGAACAGAAATTGTACTGAGAAGATCAGACTCAGCACACTGTCTTGATCCCCTAATTCTGGTATTCTGAAATAGGCTCTCCCCAAATCCAAACATAAACCGGATGAATTCACAGGAAACCTTTGCTTAAACCATGACAGGAGAGGGTATTATTGAATCTCAGGCTTAAAGGCACCATATCTAAAGAAAATGCACCTAGCCAGACTCCAAAGAGAGAACTGCAGAATGAATTTCCCAATCTCTTCACTTTTTCTCAATCCCTGCCATGTATCCTTCATGGTTTAAAAAC